TGCATATATATATATAATATGTATATATATATATGTATATATATATATATACATACATACATACATATATATATATATATATGGAGAGAGATGGATAGAGAGAGTACTATGTCATATATCTATACAGCATTGTGTCATATGTATATATATATATATATGTATACCTGTGTGTGTGTGTGTGAGTATCTCTCTCTCTCTCGATCTCTCGGTCTACATGTGTGTGTGTGTATGCGTATTTATAAATATATATATATATAGAGAGAGAGAGATACATGCATTCATACATAACTCCTTAAGGGTGACTTGTTCAGAGGCTTTCAAAAGCCTAGCGAGTTTGCTGAGTTTTGCGGCTTTGCGGGTTTGTGCTGTACAGGATTGGCATGTTGGGAACCCTGAACCATAAACCGCGCTGAGGCTTGGGGGGTGCGTAGGTGCTTCTTTCGTTCCATGCTGGAGAGATCGGTTGGCTTCGGTTCAACTTTTAGGGTTTAGGGTTCAGGGTTTAGGGATTCTCCTGTGTTTCCCTCTGTCACTGCTGTAAGCGCTATGCGCCCCTAGAGGCAGTTGAGCCGGTGGCAGCCAATCCAATCCTTGTCTTGCTTTCCCTAAGGATCCATGGGCCTCAAGGTAGTCCCTCTCTCTAAAACCGCATGCCCAAAGCATATACTGTTTGGGCACATGGACCCTTACTAAACCCTAAACCCTAAACCCTTCTTAGGGAAGAGCCTACAAAACGAGACTACGTTTCTGCGGAGAGTTTCTATACAACCAATTGCGTATATTAGGGTTTAGGGTTTAGGTAAGCCTATAAGGCATACAATAATTACAAATTCACGAGACCTAGCGCATACCGTCAACTCAGAAACCCGAAAGTGCAGACTCAAATAGTTACAGTTGATACATGGTCTGACATACATATAGATAAAGAAACAAATAATAGTCAAACAAATCTATATATATATATATCTTTCATTTATATATGTGTATATATATATATATGTATCAAAAAGCACAACCGCACATACTGTATAGACATACATACGGCGCAAAGCCCACCCATAAATCCAAAGTTTTACCTTGGAAGCGCTAGACCTTTCCCCATAAAGCCTGTTTGCAGCCTACACGAGACCGAAGCCTGAGCCGGTAATAGTTAGAATAGGTTTGGAGGTATACTGAAATATCTATCGAGACTTTAGGTAAGAGGATACGATTACTCCATTGCTAACTTGTCAGACCCCTCTATCCCCTAAATCAGAACAACTGTCGGTCCCTAAACTCCCTAAACCTTAAAAGTAACCTACTAAACCCCAAAAGTCTACACCCTGAATTCCAAGATCCTCTCTGAAACCTCAACCTTCCTACCCGAAACACTCGCCTCGATCCCGCTCAGTTGCTGACCCATGATCTCCCCTCCCACGGATACGGCAGACAGCACCCAACCTGAAACTGTTGGGGTTCGGGGCCAAGGCTCTGGTGTGAGAGTTCAGGGTTCAGGGGCTTAGGGGCTTCGGGTTTAGGCTTGAGGGTTCAAGGTTTCTAGGGGTTGGGGTTTAGGGTAAGGCCTTGGCCTGCAGGATATAAACCCCTAAAGCTAAAGGTGAACCTGAGGGCCATAACCTTAAACACACCGAAGGCTCCTAGACCCTCCACCATTGCATAGAAGGGAGGGGTAGAGGAGTTCTGATCTTAACAGTACTTTTCACTCACAACATCCACAAGACAGTAAGGAAATCATGAGGATTAGGGTTTGGGGTATTGGGCTTAGAATGGTTTAGGGTTTACGGTATCAGGTTTCCAGCTTGGCGATGTGTTACGTATCAACGATTGAAAGCACTGTGCGGTTTGGCGATTTAGGGCTTGGAGTGCTTGGGTTTAGGGTTTAGGGTTTAGGGTTTAGGGTTTAGGGTTTAGGGTTTAGGGTTTAGGGGTGTGAAGTATTTTCAAGATTCCAAATTCAGGGCACCTGTTTGGCTGGTGGCCGGTGCTAGGTCGGACCATATGCACTCAGAGCTTGCTGGGGTGTGGTCTGCAGACATCGGGCTCCTCAGGACTGCTCTGATCATGTGGGAGCTTCAGAAAACTAGGGTACCTTATTTTGGGGTCCTTATAATAGGGATCCTATTATGTAGGGTACTATATTGGGGTCCCCTATTTTCGGAAACCCTCATGTATACATTCTATGGGCGTCCAGCTGGGGATGATATGTGATGATGAATAAAAACCAAGACCCTCCTTCATAGAGGGTCCCGGACAACCCGAATAGGTGTACCTCGAGCCCCACACTTCAAGTAGCTGCACAGACGCCCTTATAAAATGCACCCTCGAAGACTGACCGTTGCCAGGACCCCTTTCGAAATCGGACTAGGGACTGAGCGATGGGGCTGCTGGACAAGGCTATGAGATTTGCAGCCACGGACTCTGAAGGGTGTTTTTGAACCAAGAGCACCGTGAATTCAGCTTACGCAGATTGAGGTTTTGGGTTTGGGGTGTTAAACTTTAGGGCTTCAGACCAGAGCGTCCAGGGTATCCTACAGCCGCAAATCTGATCTCCTGAGAAGAACGCAGCCGCAGCGCACCCTTCCCCTTGCATGCTGACACCGTCTAACGGTACACCGAACCATAGATCCTGCAGAAAAAGGGCACAACAACAAGAACGCGGTGCCGAACCCCTCCCTAAACCCTAAACCCCAACCAAGAAACGCAAGTCTTGCGCACGATCCGGCTGTGCAGTTGGGTGCTCCGAGCGCCTGCTGTCCTGCCAGGCTCCACAGTCCGACTCTCACCGAAGCTCTTTTGCTGCTGACGACTACTACCATTACTACTGCTGCTGCTGCTAATTACCACGACTACTACGACGACGACTACTGCTACTACTACAACTAC